CCGCATTCTTCGCATAATTGGCTCCCCTTTGCTCTCTCTTCTCTTCTCGCTTGGTTATATTCCTTCTGGTTTTTCTTGTAGCATTTTCTTGTCGCTTCACGGCACCTATTACAAGTCTTAAAGCCGTCAAACTCTTCAACATCTTTAGTCGCACAACACGATTTACACGCTCGCCTTTCCATCTTAACATATTACAAAGTCTAGAATTTAGGCATGGTTAGACTGAAAAATCTTCTAATACTTTTAACTACGTATTAGAACATTTGTCGGGTGATTTTCTTCTCCTTCTTCCAAGAGCACGAAACAAGCTAATTAGACCATTACCACATTCTGTTGATGCGCTTATGCACTGGTATGGGGGCACTGTCAATATATAACACAAACTAATGTTCAAATTATTTTAGTAAATCTTCTAACTGATAAAACTCAAACTATAATCTTCATAGCGATGGTAACCCTCTAATTCATCCAAAATCGCATTTCATCTAGCATTGTATTTTCTTATGTTCCGTCGCTCTTTCTCTTCCACTTTTCTGTCTTAGGAAATAAACACTCCATCATATACATTAGTATATATTTAATCTAAGCAACTTAAATTTTGTTTCAACTGACTTACTTCAACATCGCTTTATTCTATTATCTTTACTTACATGTTCATCCACTACTTCTACACCGTTTATAGTTTCAATATAAGTACCATGTTTTTTCTTTATATATTCAAATTACTAAAGTAGAACCAATAGGCATACCCGATTTTTAAATATACAAATAGTAAGTATGAAATGATGCGCAAACTGCCCGCTCGGATGCTGTGTATAGCATCTTCTACTGGAGGCAAGACGGTGCTTATCCCAAACCGAATATTAAAAGTTATAGAAACTCCTTTGAAAGGATGTACATTTCTCACCGACGGTTAATGTTGATGACACATGGGCACCCGTTAAGAAATACATAACCGATGTGATGAAAGTGGATACGGAAAAGGAACAAGTTTATTATGAAGAGTACGACCCTATAGCATTGAAGAAGTTAATAGAAACACCGCATAAAGTCATTCATTTTCAAAAAAGAACGAAAAAAGAATTTGTCTAGCATCTTGATAGTTGTTGATGACTCTACTGGCGACCCAAGATTTGTAAGATACTCTAGTTTGCTACATGGGGTATTTACGAGAGGTCGTCATAACGCAATTAGCGTCATCTTATCTAACCAGAAGTATAATGTCCTAGCGCCAATTATTAGGTTGAATGCTAGTGCTTTGTTTATATTCAGGTTGAAGAATATGAAGGAAGTCAATGAGTTTATTGAAGACAACTCGACATTAGTTGATAAGAAAACTTTATATGACATGTCTCAACAAGCGATAAACGATGCTCCATATTCCCTTTTTATAAATACAAACGCTAAAGATGTTAAGATGTTCGCAGAATAAGAAACTCTATTGAGGTCAAACCGAGCTCTAACGTAATCTAAGTTGTGGTCGGTGACAGACATTACTAGGACCAAACGGAGAACACTGGCAACCCTCGCGAATACGTGGCCCTTGCTTCGCTGTGTCATACTGCTTACTCGCTAACCTTTTCAACGAGGCAACTTGGACATAAGAATCCATCAGAGCTTCAACGAGGTGTGGATGAATGCCAAGCCCGTTATGTTGAATTCCGAATTCCAAATCACATCAGAGCAATGCCACACACACCAACCCCCAAATCTAGAACTCCATGACGACCAATGTTTCTGCTCTGAGCTTCCCACAGACCACTCACACCTGACACTGTCAGCTCAGGGTATCAACGTTAGAGTGTTCAGCTGGCTTAAGGTAAAGTCATGTTGTTGGGTCTACGTTGGGAACTGGAACATCTTCAAACAGCCTCTGCTCTTGCAGACGCTAGATCTGCGCACCGGCATCAGGACGAGACAGGACGAGCTTATAAAGCA